GAACAGCCTGCTCTTTTGGAGATTTCTTTTTGTGTCTTACCCTCCTGATGGAGAGTGTCAATGATGGTCCTCTGGACAGCAGTCAGGTCAGCAGTCTTCCCCATACTTGTGATTTAGTTTACTGAACCAAGCTGACTGTTTTTAAAGGCTCAGGGAAACCCTTGCAGGTGTTTCGAGTTAATTAGACGATTCAAGTGATTAGTTAAATAGCCTGCTAGTATAGTTTTTCATGATATTCTAATTTTTTGACATAGGATTTTTGAGTTTTCCTAAGCTGTATGGCATAATCAGCACTATTAAAACAATAAAAGGCTTGCAATATTTCAGTTGATGTGTAATGAATCCAGAATGTATGACATTTTTGTTTTTTTAATTGCATTACAGACAATAAAGAACTTTATCACAATATTCTAATTTTCTGTGACAGTCCTGTATATACCATAGTGATTGGCATTGCGTTATTAACCAGACACGCATTCATACGTACTCGACACCAATAGAGCTGGACTTCACAATGTGATAGTCTCCGCTAGAGACCTCATACGGCACGCTATGGTAAATGTTAAACGTCTGAAACCTACTAATGACACTGGAAAAGATCGGAACCTCATTACCGCCCTCTGTTGGAAACTTTTGTTCTTTTAACGACAAAACCGTAAGTCGGTGTGTGTTGTTTAATAAATACCGAACACGAATATTTTCACAAAACTAGGTCACTTAACGTTAAGAAATAGGCAGAAGTTGAAATAACAATTTCACAGCCCTTTGTGAGCTCTGACAGAATGTGAAAATGCTAATGAAATACGTATGTGAGAAAGGTGTTTTCAGGGGGTTTGTTACATAAACAAGGTTACGAATAGCGTAATGAACACAGAAGTAATCACCATCCATCACTGAACCTTGGCGTATGCTGGGATTGTGTTATTGTCTGGCAGGGCCAGCGATGGTGGCTCACACGAAGTCTAATTCTAGGAATCTCCGAATTAGTCCCAAGTGGAACCTCTTGGATAATATCAGGAAATGTTTCCAGATGGTCACATGACTACGACTGACGATCTGGTAGGTATCTGCTCATTACCACATAGTTGCATTTATCTGAGGCACATTTTCTCCTGTAAAACTTAAGATCTTATGCTGTTTTCTGCTCAAGTACAACAAGGTGGGAACCAGCCCTGTCACTTCCGCTATTGTCACTGTTAGATCACTGTTGTTAGATGCTGGCCTTAAAAAAGTTTGAAAATAAGGTATTCTGCTCTAAGATTTACCACAGCAGAAGCAGTTACCTACATTGTTTTATATTTCATTAGGCTGGACAATAAATCCTGCAATTGTACAGTTATTATGTAGCAATTTCTGGGTTCATTCATTCTTTGCTAGACATTTGAAATGTTATAGAATGATCCTCTTTGTGTCTTTTCCATATTTTGATGCTGATCAACAGCAGAGTGTCCTAAAAAGAAATGTAATATGACAAAATGCATATTTGACAGAAGAGTACGACACTTTTTGCTGGTATTGCCTACTGCCACATTTTCAGAAGAGAATGAGTAAGCTGTTACATCACAGGTGACGGGGCAGTGTGGTTCAGCCGGCTGAGCGTCTGTGAGCAGAAGCTGCCGGTGTGACCCTGGCCTTTACAGAACAGTCTGATGTCCGTGGGCTCTTGAGCAAAGCCCCTAATTTAACCCCCAGCTCCCCGAGTGCTGCACGGTGGCTGCCCCCCTCCCCGTGACCTCAGAGCAGCCTGTATGGAGAGCAAGTTGGGGGCAGAGAGAATTTCCCCATGGGATTAATAAAGGGTCCGGATTCTATTCTGCAGGACTAACAAGCGCACCTGGTTTTTTTGGTCCAAAGTCTAATAAAAGACAGCATGGTGTCTCACCCCCTGCCATTTCACATAGATTTCTTATCTCTTCCCAACATTTTGTGTAGTTTGGCACACAGCACCGCAGCTCAGAGATACTAAAGTGTTGCACTTATTTATTGAATTCTGTTGATAGAACACGATTACCAGAATTTCCACCATGTCATATTTTACAAAGAATGATTGTAACCAATGACTATAAGTTATTACTATGTGGACAAACTATTTATAAAATGCATTTGTTGGCCACGGTTGTTGGCTGAGACAGTGGATCAGTCGCATGTCTCTGTACATGTATAACGTGTTGACGCCGTTTGATCAGTCGCATGTCTCTGTACATGTATCCCGTGTTGACGCCGTTTGATCAGTCGCATGTCTCTGTACATGTATCCCGTGTTGACGCCGTTTGATCAGTCGCATGTCTCTGTACATGTATCCCGTGTTGACGCCGTTTGATCAGTCGCATGTCTCTGT